GGCAGGGCAGGCTGGGGGAGCTCTACATCTCATTCAGGTCAAGCAGAGTCTGGTCCAGCATCCTTTGTGTACAGAGGTGCTCCTCTTTGGTGCATTTCAGCTTATCTAATAGGGGTAAAGGAGAGAAGTTACAAAAATTAAATTTCAGGATTGCCCACTCTCTCAAACTTGCTCCTGTTACTGCAGAACGGCAGACTAACAAAGCAGCTGCTTTCTCAACCAAAGAAGTGAGCTATTGCATCACTGAACTTCTGCAGGGCCGCTGGCTCGGCTGCTGAAGCTGCAGAGCTGCTGTACTTCCTCGGGGAGGGCGCCGAGGACCTTATCAACCACTTCCCCTCCTCCCCCCAGCCAAGGCTTCCGGCTTTCAGTCACTGAAAGAGCAGGCCTGAAGCCATCAGCCATTCACTCTTACAGACTTGGGTCCTGCCACAGGACCTGTAAACAAGAATGGGCACGTAGAATCTCAAGAGCCTCATGAACTTACTATAAGCTTTCTTTAAAAACTAGAGGGGAAAAGAATAATCACTGGGATAAGTAAACAAGCCCTCGTGACTAAGCCAAAGAATCTCTAAAAACAAAGCCAGGAATACTACCAAACATATGCTTGTAAACAAAACCTTGAGATGTGTCCAGAGCTTCTAAATGGATCAAACCCATAACAGTTACTTGCAAGTAAACATAAAATCAAGAAGCAAAGGGAAAATATCAGAAAAAACCCAGGTCCTGAGCATCAAGAAACACCTGCACTGCTTAGCAAACAAACCACTGGCTGCTCTAGGGAAGGAAGGAAAATACTTAAATCTCTCAACTCAGAGATGGTATAGGAAACACAAGCCCTTATTCATACCCCACACCCTTCTCTCCCTTACCCTTTTCTCCACCCAGTCAGAGGGGCCCAATCCCTGGGCCTGAAGACAAAGCAGTTACAACATATTATTGTCAGTCTTTTTATTGTTAAAAAAAAAAAAAAATCCATGCAAGGGAACATATCCTATAGTCAGTGCATAAATGAAAGGGTGGAAAACAGAAAATTCTCCCAAGCTTTCTCACTACAACCACTTGGGCCCCTTCCTTTGTCACTCATAATCTCTGATAAAGGGACATAAATGCAGTATTGAACTATTTCCACTTTACAGTGCTGTTAGGCAATCAACCATAACTGCCCCATGTAAAAAACAACTTGTTTAGGGCAAAATAACAACTTTGAAAAAGACAATCAGCTTTTGCTGGGGTCCAGGTCAGTGGTGTGAGCAGTGAGCTCGGGTTACTGGGCACCAGAGCCCTGCCCGTCAGTCACACAGATCATGCAGCGTTAGCTTCAGCTCATTAGAAAGCAGGCGGTTTCGCTCAAGTTGGCTGTAGAGACGCTCTGCAGCAGAATGGAGAGGAGGGAAAACAAGAGAAGGAGAGGAAAAAGAGGAGGAGAAAGAGAAAAAGGAAAGGTTAGTAGAGTAGCAGAAGTAAACCTGAGACTTTCAACTACCTGGTATACGTATCATGCATCTGTAAGGCAGGACGGATGCAAGGGGTCAGACAGAGGGCAGCAAAAGCCAGTTGGTGGAAAGACCAACAGAGGAATAAAATAAGAAATTTAGGCTGCTGTGGTGATAACATTTTGAGGAAGAAAAAAACACATCCTTGAACAGTATTTATTTCCTGAACTAAGAAACCCGGACATGTAAAGGAGGCCAAAGCAGGGAATCCAATGGCTTAGAAGAGATCCACTCACAATTAGATTTGGACAGAAACTCAGCAGTTGAACATCTTTCAGTAAAAGCACTCACTCAACAGAAGCATTACGCTCAGGAGATTAGGATAATCATGTTCATCTACTTAGTAGGACTCTTCCTTTCCTTTCCAGACAGGGTCTTGCTGCATAGTTTAGGTTGGCCTTGAACTTGTAACAATCCTCCTGCCTCAGCCTCCCAAGTGCGGGGATTTCAGGTGCCACCACGCACAG